TATTATAAAGCTACAATTTTCATCATAAATATGATACCGAGAGAGTGATTCGAGTGGATGTAATTTGTCATTTAGAAAGCAATTGGAATACACCATCTGCGCTTTCTCTCGATTGTTTTAAACGAAAGCGGATGTATTTTTTCCGGAGATTCGTTGTGGTCGACACGAGCATTGATCGAAACGCGAATAAAAGAATAGCATGCGCGCGGATTGTTCCCGTTGTAAAATGAATACCTTGCTCGCGAAATACTTTCAATGAATACTCTCGAGAAAATGAGGGAGTCCATTCGAAGGTGTGAGATCGCGCGTGGAAATTATTGCTGGAATGACGGCACCGGTCATTCAACTGGTAAGCCTTTTCCAAGCGGGACTCACTCAGTTTTTCTTATAGGATTCTAATTGCTATTAATGTAAATTGTGAGAAAAAGTCGGCCTTTCGCACGATTTACTTGTACTGTTTGAAGAACTCTCTTTGCCTATTTTTTTTTTCTATCCGGGACAATGGTTTTCCAAATAAAAGCAAAAAAAAACGTGTAAAATTCATATATGTTCGTATAAGCATTAGAATTACGAGAATGAATCATATTCATTTCGCAAATAGATGATAATACACGACTGAGTGGTTATTTACTTAAGGATATATTGCACGTATTTTTAAATGCAAAAGTTATGAAAAATTTATAGACTTTTATATTGTATTTGTGTTTGTGTGAAAGTAACAAAAAAAGTTTGGCGGCGATTTAAAATGTGGATAAATAATTATTTCAATAAAACGGAAACATGTTTTTAAAACATAATTAATAAAATGAGAAAATTTTTATTTAAAATATAAAATTGTATTAAATGTGAATACTAACCTTATTGAATTTGTTTCATATGTATATAATTTTTATTAGTATTTAATTTTTCCAATTTCAGTCACTTTTTGCAGAAATTATGCACCTGATTTATCCTTAATAAATCAATGGATTTGTTTCCGGATTATTAAAAAAAAAAATATATATATATATACTGTTTTCATTATATTAATTGATTAATCAAGAATCTCATATGATTTCAGCCTGCAGGACTTTAGTTTCAATCTTTTACGATAAATTACGTTCATCGGGCAAAAAGAGCTTTTGACTGAAAATCTGACGCGTGCCGCAGTTAACGAGTGTTAATACAAATTATGTCATAGGATTTATATAGATATTTAATAAGCCGTCCATTAAATTTCAATGTAACGGTCTTTACGTCATTTATTTGATGCTACGTTGACTCGAGCGGATATTGATACTTTCACCGTGAATCTGTTGCCGCAATAGAAGCGTGAGCGTGCGTACACGCGCAGGTGGATCACGTTTCCTGATCCGCCGCTCGCGCTCGCACGCGTGTACAGCTCGCACGTTTCGAAGGTAAGAGTCAGCCGGGCGTGACCGGCTCGGAGAGAAACGCGAGATACGCGTAAACGCGAGATACGCGTAATAGCTGATTTGCCATTCGAGAATTTAAGCATGTATTTTACAACAGTAAATTAAGCCGTACAATGCTGATCAAAGCGCGCGTTGCTTAATGACTTTTGAAATTGATTTAAATTTCAAACGCGGGGATACGGGATTTTGCTTTACGCTATGCGAAATTGCAACGAAAAATGTAAATCCATAAATTATGGAGAGAGGAAAAGCGAGGTCATGCGCTCTTAAACAGGGAATTAACAAGATCAAAGAAGCGTACTTCAAAATTTTCGCCGTTCCACTGAGTTTTGTCTGTAAAAGTTGTCTTATCCCATTTAGCTATTTATCGGAAATTGAAATACACACATACTCAATCTTACGATTTAAAAAAAGAATTTTTTTTTTATTTAAAACAGAATCTGGAAATTCTTGTTCTACATATAGTATTTCGTGATATGACAATTGGCGGTGTAACATTGTTGGCACGAGGCACCTTCACACATGACGAAAGAACACGTTTATATATAATTATATACAACGGTTGAATTTAATGTCAGCTAATTTAATGTAATTCTGCGTTTTAAGAATATTGTGAATTTACTGAAGAGGGCCAGATTGTGGCCGATACGTCTAATTAATGTTTTATTAATGTAATGATAATTAAATATCACAAACAATATCTTGTGCGGTGGTTTTTTATGCTCTTCTTTTCATACGTTTTGATTTATAAACCACGTTCGTTCTTACGATTTAATTTTTTAACTTTCCGATTCGCTGCAGTTTGCCACGGCAATACATCACTGTTACAATTTTCACGGAATAATTAAATACTCGTGGACGCAATGAATAAAACATTGCAGAGGGAATTGAAATCAATTTTTATACATATATTTTTTCTCTACTCAGTTAATTAATTGATTCGCCTCCAGAGTTTGTTTTTTTCTCGCTTGACAAAATTGGCTTCATCTTTTTATTAGAAGTTCAATTATCACGCGACGTTGTTAATCATTTGTAAATCGTTTATTAATCGATCGTTAATCGATCGTTAATCATTTATTGTTCTTATAATTAACTATGTCGCGATTGACTATGTCGCACATGTCACACATTGACGATGACGAATCCAATTCGATTTATCCAGTACGTTGGAACAAAGATGAACAAAATGAAGAAATAGTGCTCGTCATTTTCCTTTTAAAGGTACTTTTCTCATGGCGTGACTTGACGAGTATACGAGCATTCGCGTTACTTTTACGACTGTTGATAAATTCGTAGTATGTATTCCCACGGCTCTGCATCAGCGAATAGAATTGAGTCGGCCTACGTATGTTTCTACGCAAATCGATGAATAGCTTTATACGGTCATTCCAATTCTACTGTCTGCATCAAAGGATAAACTTAATTCATTAAATTTATTTTTTAAAAGAGAATGAATTTAAAAGAAGATAATGAAATAAATTTAATAATTTAGTTTATGTAAAATAATTAACTAATATAAATGATTAAAAATCGATTTACACTGATACTCTAATAATTTAATTTTTTATATCGCAATTATCTTATTCTATTATGTATACTGTTAAATTTATAATATCAAATTATATCCAATTTTTGAGTTATTTTTAATTATAGATTAGAATTATTTTTATTTACAGATTTTGTGTTTATCAGTATCATTAAGATGCTTATGAGCATAAAAATTATTAAATTGCTAGACAATTTAATTTGTAATAGTAGTTTTGTCGGTATAGGTATTAGTACGTTTCAAATCTGAAAAATCAATTCGGCGCGCAGTTTGGTAGAATTTGATATGTGGTATATAAATTTACACTGAATTAAGTATTTAAGCATTAAAGATTCAACTTCGACCGTTATGAGCTTTATTTCATATTGGTTGTGTATTCACATATATGATCCAATAGGATTCTTATTGTTTTATTTTTAATTATTTCTACATTGAAAACGAAACGTACTAAATTTTGATAAATATTGGTTTGAATAGTATTAATTAAATATTTACTAGATGTAAACATATATTTATTTGGCACAAGAACCATTAATTTGATTTAAGTATAAATTTTTTTTATTATAATAGTATTTATTATAAATATTTAATACTATTTAAATAAATACTCATTAAAATTTCGTAATTTTTTTTCTGTGTGTAAATCGTCACTGCTCTTAACATGTCGTTAATTTAACAAATACAATACAGTTAAACAATTCAAGAAATATATTAAGTTTGACAAAAATTTACTTTATTATTTACTAAGTTCAAAGGTTAATATGAACACTGTTGACTTCAAAATAATTCAAAGCAATTCCATATAAATGAGTTAATTAGATGCGATTATTTTTTTTAATCACGCGTTTTAAAATAATACATTTTGACACGCTTGGAAATTAAAAGGATTTAAAGAATTGTTTTATAAATTTGATTTTTTAATATTTAATGTATAGTTCTAAATAATCTAAATGCTTTAGTCTGGTGTAATTTTTATTTCATTTTAATTTGAGAAGATTTGAAGAGGAAGTACCCTCGCTGGAAGGTAATTTTATACAAGGCAGGAAGGAAAAACGCGAACTCTTTAGAATCCTCATCCCTCGCGGAATACCGTCATCGTCTCTATACTTATATTCATGCGAAGCTCCGTGATCCTTATTTTGCGGAAAGAGCGAAAGCTCTTAGCGAACTTTCGACCGAAAACAGCCGCCTTCAGCTACAATAGACGATCTTTCTTTGCCCGCCGTGGACATTATTTTCTTCTTCCCGAATGAATAGGGCATCTCCCAGAGAACGGTTTTACCGTTGGACGGTCCAGTTTCTTGAATCTATCGCAAATTATGAGATAACACTCGATCTATGTCCAGCAATCGATGTCCAGCATATATCGTGAATAATTGTACGCGCAATTGCTTGCACATACAAGCGGCGGAATCGTGGCCGTAAAATAACGTACCTATGTTTTTGTTTTCTCTGCAAGGCCGAGTTATGCGGGCGCGATGAGGAATGATTACGCGAAAAATGATTGCGCGAAAAATGATTGCCGCTATGATGCACCACGAAACGTAAATTTCGAGATATTGACGTTTCGGTTATTCACCTCGATTCAACGGACACAACGGTTTCTGGCGCTTTTATTTTGTCAGTTCAGTTTGACAGCCCGCATCGAAATTCAGCTAAATAATTAACGAGCAAAGTGAAACTGTTTGATCTGCGTGCGTTGCATACTTTCCGTTTGTTGAAAAAACTGATGGTAATAGAATAATAGTGATAAATTTTGCAAAAGCCGGTTATTAACTTGTTAATAATGCATTTAAGAATTCTGATTTATGTGCGAATTGTCTTTGTGAACATTAATGCGATTTTAATTAAAATATTTTGCGAGAGAGAGAGAGAGAGAGAGAGAGAGAGAGAGAGAGAGATTTGGTTATGATACTTTAATTATTAGGAATATTTTATCTGTCAATTAATAGCACACGTATTCACGTACACGAGCAAAAGTTACGAGATTTAATTATGTAATTAATGAACTTATACGATCGCATTACGTTGCGTTACAGCGCCCTACGAGGGTGGAATATGGAAGGTGAGGGTTCATCTGCCGGAGCACTACCCTTTCAAATCACCTTCGATCGGTTTCATGAACAAGGTCTACCATCCCAACATTGACGAAGTCTCGGGTACGGTGTGTCTAGACGTTATAAACCAAGCTTGGACTGCCCTTTACGGTACGTATTCATTTAGCCGCGTAAAACCGTGCTCGACCAGTCTGTAAATAGCGCACGAGTACTCGCGCAATTTTCGTTTAGCCGTCTACTTAACCTTTTCATTACAAGTAACTTAATTTAGACTTCGCTTTGAGAATTACAACGTGAAAGTCGCTTGCTTTCCAGTCGTACATGCATATAGTATGTATCTTGTATTTATTACGAGTCAGGCTTTGTCGAGCAACGTGTTAAGGAACAACTTTTAACTCTAATTGGTAATTGGCTCCGAAATATCCTTAATTGTATATTCATATAATGAAACTAAATTAATGCAGTTTTGCTTAAAGTTAATCCACGTAATTAATGGATGATTTTTCATTTTGAAAGTCAAAAGGAGAGCCGAGGAGAACCGGATTATATAGTTTAAAGTTATGTAAGGTTGTGAAAAATATTTATTGTAAACAATTTTTAACAATGTTTGGTGCGTATGAAAAATATGTCCGAGTCCACTGGATCCATAAATGCCAATTAGAATTAATATCTGTCGAAAGAGAAAGAGTGAAGAGATTACGAACGATTACTAACGACATTTTTGCACTGTTTGGTTGTTTCAGACTTGTCAAATATTTTCGAGTCTTTCCTGCCTCAGTTGTTAACATATCCCAATCCAATCGATCCCTTGAACGGCGATGCTGCCGCGATGTACCTTCACAAACCCGAAGAATACAAGAAGAAAGTGGCGGGTGAGTATGTTACAGACTTAAATAAGTATCCCCCTTAAACGAGGCACAGTTGGAACGAAGACGGTGGATCATTACAAGACTTTTACGATCAGCCGTCAATCGATCCGTATCTTTCTCTTAAAGTAAAACTTCCCCTGTCGTAGTTGCTTCCGTTCGGCGTGTGTGTACGCTCGAAACATCATTACCGTCGCAATGTAATTTCCCGTTTCTGACTTCTCGGCAGATTACGTGAGGAAGTACGCGACGGAGGAGGCGCTGAGGGACCAGGAGAACGGCGGTACCGGCAACGGGATGTCCTCCGACAGCGAGTCGTCGATGAGCGATTTCAGCGAGGACGAGGCGCAGGACATGGAGTTGTAACCAAATATATTACCATCCGCGCGTACCCATATCCTTAATCATCTCGATTCCCTGTAAGATCCCCGATCGCTCGTCCTACTACCAAATAGATGCTTACACCCGAGACTCCGAGTCTCACTTCTGGTGACGGCGACGAGATCCCTTTTACTACTCGTCGCTGCTTTCGTCTCTTGTCGCTCGTCGCTCGTACATATACCGAGGGGTTGGTGATCGACCATCCCCGGCACGACGAGAGTGAAAGTGACGGAGACGAACGAGGTAAAAACGGAGAATCGCGCTCTTCTCATCGAGCGCATCTCGAGGGGCGTTTTCTATCACGACAGCGATGTCTCTCACGGTCGTCCAAGCTCTTGCTTGAGTTAATTATTCGTTGCGTTTAATTGTCATATATTCATAAATTATGACGACGACGACGATGATTATGATTATAATGTGCACATCAACGAACGAGACGTTGGCACAAATGAAACTCGCAATCTTTGTAAACGTCTCGAGAGTCGATGATCTTATTTTTCAGTGTGAAGAAGAGAAAAAGGAAGGATATGAAACGAAAAGACAGAGAGAGGACCATCGTTGGTATTTACGGGTTATTCATTGATCGACGCAATATCGATTTTCGGCCGGTGCTTCTACTGCGTATATATATATATCTATGATGCGTTTTTCTATGATGAACAGCGAAACAATAACGTACCTTGCGACGGATAGAGCTATATCTAATATATTTACCCGGTTATGTTTTTCTCGATTTCTGAAATTCTCTCGCCCTTGTTTGTTCTTTCTTCCAAGCGCCCACAGGTGCGTTTGTCGTTGTTATTCGAAAATATGTGATCGAGAATGAAGCAGCAGAGAGATGCACAAAAATTTTAACGACGAATCGATTAATCTGGCATATAGCGATCGCATCGTCTCTCTATCAACTAACGACTCCTTTGCTGCTATCTTAGACTGTGTTAGCATCTATTTAAAAAATTATTTTTATATTCGAAATCGCTATCAATCGTCATTCTTCTCATTTTTATCTGAAGAGTACGCTAAATATTGCCTAGTTAAAAGTGAAAAGCAAACAGAGTTTGTCTCTACAATCTTTTCTTTTTCTCGATTGATTATAAAAACCGGTGCCTATGTCACGCGTCAGTTTCAGATTTCTTTTGTTTAAAACAACAGTGAGACACGCAAAAATGTGATGGAGTATGGGTACTAGCACCGTCTTCCTTTTTCCTGCCATCACTATTCCCAAACGTTTCCCCCGTAGGGCTGCGCATCAGCGACCGATCGCTACGTCGTCGTCGGCCGCGGGGAAAAGATCGAATCTGCTACACAAACGGCCGCACGCGAACGACGTCGAGACGACGGAGCCGCTAGCCAAGACTGCGCGATTGTGGAATCACCCCGGGAGAATGAGTGCAAACGAGACTCTGAATATGTTTCAAGCAACCTCGACGTCCTGTCTCGAACTGTGCGCATCGGGCGGACAAAGTGCGGATGAGACGCAAGCTACAGGACTGTCATCACCGTGTGTCCATCCTTTGGAAGTGAATGTAGATTTAGTTGATCCCGGTGGGTACGGATCGGACGCGATTTAATAATCACTCGCGGAAAATTTTAAGTCAATTTGTACTATTTTAATCTCATTGTTATTCGACTCATTATAGATTTCATTATATAGATTATTGTTATTAAGAGGAGGACGTATATTAAATTGAATTGGTTTGTTACAATGTTTGAGAGATGCTTTGCTTTTCTAGAAGTGAAACTGGAAATATCCTTGCGTTTAAAGAAAGAAAAAGAAAGAACAACTATCCTTACTTAATTAATCATTACTTCCATCCGCTAATGCAGTTTTAAGTTTATTTCAAGTATTAGAACTAAAGAAAATGAAATCAAAGAACTCAGGGAATTTCCGTTTGAGAAACAAAAACTATGGTTGTATCATCGCTGAAATAAGCAAAACGTGAATTCGAATACACGAATGGAAAGTGCGAGGAAAGGACTAAATTTATTTTTATGATTGACGATATATCAGCGAGTTTAAATTTTCAAAAAGAACCAAGTAGATTAAAGAATTGTTTGGCAAAGTGTAGGAAAACTGTAAATTTATAAAATATAAAATTGTATAAACTTTGATGCACAATAATCTTCGATCAATAGTATCTCGTTTCAAATATATCTCCCTCCTTTGCATGATTTACATGTATGCAATGCGATTTATAGCTGTACGTAAGTATAAACATTATATTTCAGTGCCTTCTCAGGCAAAAAAACGTGCCTTATTATATGGGTCTCTGGTAAAGAATTTCATTGGAATATATGAGTGAATACGACGAGCATTTAGCGTTAACGGATCTTTGGACGAAATTAATTATGCTTAAAGCATTGCAAATTAATACCGAATGTGTTTTAAGAAACTAGAGATAAACGTCGATTACTAGGCTTCAATAATTTCTTGATAATTGAAAGATGTATAGGACATCAACGGAAAAAATATGTAAGAAAGCGTGAAAAATTTCAACGATCAATCCGATTGTCCATCTTGAAAATTTTGAACAGATATGACGCCGAATTGATACAACAATAATCGTAATGTCACTATAACTACGTTGCGTAGGCGCATCGGTCGTAAATGCAGCAACTACAGTAATCAAATTCAGAATGTAAATAGCAAAACAAAAGTTACGATTTTTTAGTCAATATACTGTATATTTATACAATTTCGTTGCGCACACTCTCGCAACTTTTATTTTATCCACCGATGAACCTTATCCAGGTTTTTAATGTATTATGCAACAGTTCTGCGCTTATCTTTTTTTTTTTAAAGAACGTTATTTTATACGATAAACGATAATTTATACGTAGGGATATTCACGCTTTACATTATTATTTAAGACGAACTTTCATGGACACGGCCTGTTTCCCAGCGAATCCATTCCGTTGACGACATGTACTGCAATGTATTTACCGTTTCGAAAAGTTATGCTATTAAGACTAATAATAAGTGAAATCAGTACAGTTTTCGTATAACTTACCAGAAGCAATGCCGTTTTTATATTTCTATATTTTTTTCTCGTGCAATTATGTAAAGCGATATGTTTCAAAATCCGTCAGTTGCTCATTGTCATATTTTTCGTAATGTTCGTCTATATATTGGCTTCGTTATTGTTATTATCTCATTAGTTTTTGAAACTCGGTGTGCAATCAACAAAGTATGATATGTGCGTCACTTGAATGTACGTCAAGACAAATGTACATTTTATTCAGCCTGAACACTTAGAATTATCTCAGCTGTACTTAGAAAAAGAAAAAATTCTGCTATTCTTTTATTCGCACTGTATTTCTCACAGGAACGCGCGTCTCTTCTATTTTATTTTTTGTAAGTTAGCACAATGTCGCTTTAACGCGTCTAATGTCTCGTCGGCACTGTACTTTTAGACTTCGTTCAAAACCAAAAATCATCATACTAGAATGTGCGTTTCCCATGGAACCGTGTCGATTGAGTTTGAAGTCGTGCTCTCAGATCTCACATCGTTGCTAATTATATATGTAACATATAGAATTATTGACTAGTTATACGCATAAATATATATATATATATATATATATATAAATAAAAAAAATATATATATATATATTTTATCGATCATATTCGCATAACTTTGTATTAGCTATTATGTATGGTTTTACTAACGAATTGTTTAACTAAGCGAAGAAGGATAATTTTAATAATCATTTTTTATATTTTTTTTTGCAAGTGTTGTTTGTTCCTCCTATCAACTGATAACTTATCGCGTCTCCATTTCGACTATTGGGATTGTTTTTTAGTATTCCCTGTTCAGTGCGCGCGCGCGCGCACGCTTATTATTATAACGAAGATAAAAAATTTTCCATAATATGTGTAGATATTGGATTATTATCGGATTAATGCTTAGATTAATGTTAACTAATATTTCGTTTTATGATGCGAAGATCCATTGCCTCTATTGTGTTCAAAACCTTTTTGTAACATTGAATAATACGTCTAAAGGCATATTTTTATATATGTATTGCAATGATATAATATAGCGATAGTTGCATGTTCTTTATCCTACGTCGGGTTCCATCGCCATTTAATTTTCCCCTCTGTGATCATAAATAATGGATAATCAATTATTTTTATAATCGTGAGCAACCTGTCTCATACAAAACGATTAGAGTCTCGCGTATAATAAGATGCATTGCTTATGTCGTTCCTTTAATTCCGTAAGATACGTCGAATGTTTTCCGAGTAATTGTACATTTAAAGGATGCAAAGGAGTCGTTACGTAACACGAGAAACACATAATCTATATAGTGATAATTATAAGTTGTAGAGAATTGAAACGAGAGAATTTGAAACTACGATTATTGTGATTGATTGGTTCTTTGCCGTTACATAACATAATCTGTGTTTTTAGTGTCTCACCGTAAATCTTATTCGCGAAGATATAAGTTATATTTACGGATGACAATTCCGATACAGAGAAAGAGAGTAAGCTGTCGATGGGCGATGTCACGTGTTTGCCAAAATTTCTGTCAACAATTTGTGATCAAAGGGCGAGGGATTCGTTTTTGCCCAATTCAGTTTGATCAAACGACATATATATATGTATATCTACGTACATACACACACACACATTCACGTAGCATGCAATGTCAAACACGTTCCAAACGAAACTATTAATTTCGTGCCACGATATACGGCATATATGGTCTACTGGACTTTTGCGAGAATCATATTCGGAGTTGTAACTTCGAAATGTTGTACAAAAATGGAAGAAGAGGAAAAGCAGATACACTCGGGGCCGAGATTTAGTCCAAGATTTTCATTCTACGGAAATTATAATTCTGTCGTGTTACGTTCTTTGAAATGTCGAAATTGGGAGATGGAAGTCGATAGAGTGATCGTTATCAAAGATACTCTTTAAAACGCACTTAAGTATATAGTAGGCACTCGTTCAGGATTCCAGGCGTGACGTGAATAAAGAAGATGATGAACGGCTGCTATTCCTGTTCCGCCGGCGGAGCACGTATCCTGATTTGACATCATGTTTTTCTCGCGAGGTAAACTAGATAATTGAGAGGGGAACGTACTCTCTCCATTTTCAGATGTTTTAATCAAGACAGGGAGACAGCAATATTTTTGCTACTCGTTCGTAATTATATATCGATGTTAGCGAGCGTGCCGACGACGGCACGAGCGTCAGACGCGTTTGCAATAATGGTTGATTAACAAAGTTGTAATAAGGAGGATACAATCGTTATATCAATCTTGATCGTACGATCGAAACTAGTCGCCCGACAACGACGATGCAGTTGCGCTTGCGGAATATGCATTTCGATATAGTTTGGCAAATTCGTTTTACAACTCGATCGCGCGACAGCGATCCGTTTCTTGCTACCTTATCTCCAATTGAAAATTGAACAAGCCCTAATCTTCTAACTTAGATCCAGCGATAAAAATGACCTAGCCGTGTGCAAACTAGATAGTGAACGCCGACATTGTCACGGGACGATAGTAATCGAGCAATGCAGCAAACGCGAAGAAAATGATAGCTGATATTTCTATGATCGGTCTAGCAATTTAAATGCATTCTAGACATTCTTATTCTGCAGCACATCCGGGAAATGTAATTAACAATATTAAAGAAACTATTAATTTCGTTGGCACTTTTGTTACTTTTACTTTGGACAATGTCGACGTTCGCAATGGACAGATTTTCGCGTGTGTTATTACTGCTTTATATTACTCAACGATTGTGCGAGAACTTTGACCTAAACCGTTTCCATGTAGATAAGCGAGGCCAATTTTTTACCGCGTCTGAGAAAAATAAATAATCCCGATGGGTTTTGCGTAATCACGCAAAGTGAAAATTGCTCCGTCGCGAAGAAACAGAATTATTAACGCAAAAAATAAAATTATGATATTAAATTAAGTGCAATTTGTGACGCGAGAGGAGGACATATTCTCTCGAATGAAAAGTTTACGCTCGCTTATGCATCTGGAAATGATAAGGATTTAATATTTCGACTATATATGGCGATAGAGAGGTTGAAAGAGATGAAAAGGCAAGAGCATAATGCTAAAAGGAAGAGACGTTTTCTTAGCGGTCCGCATTACGATGTATGTGTAAGTTTTTTTAATTATCGAGTAAAAATTAGAGACAAGATAGTACGGTATTTTCATACACAGTAAAAAATTTTATGTTAAATTTAACACATTTCACATGTCCCAAACGGTTCACCCAAATTTTTGAGTTAATTTAACATAAGATGAATATGTTAGAAAATAACACAAATATTATGTAAAAAATTAACACAAGAAGCTAATACTTTAACACAATTTAAAAGTAAAAATAAATTTTATGTTAAATTGATATATTTATAATGTTAAATTTAACTGAAATTAGATGATATTTTTACATTTTTAATTTAGACGATGCCTCTGTGATATTTAACATATGCAATATATAGATTTAACTCATTTAACAGATATTTACCGTTATAAAGAGAAAATTAACACAAAATATCTATACCTTTTTACATATAAAATATGTAACTAATTGCACAGAACATATTTCTTTAGTAAAACTAACATTTATAATACATTAAATTAACACATATTTTATTCATTTATTTTTACAATTTATGTTTTAAAATTGCATCATTTTTATGTTATTTGTTTACTTACCTATAAATTGTATTATTTTAACATCGAGAATGTTAAATTTTTAATATAATGCCGTTGTATTATTTGAATATTTTGTGTTAAATTAATGTTTAACATTTTTTTAATACTATTTCTTTAATATTATTAAGTCAACATTCGGATATATTAAAAATTCAACACAAAAATTTTAACAAGGATTCGCGTTTTAACGTAATATAATAAATACAAAATCTTTTTTACTGTGTAGAAACTATATTAAATGCAAATGTGAGAAAAGTACTAGAAAACGATTAATTCGCTAAACGATTAATTAAAATGATTGGAAAATAATTAACTCGAAAACGGAATTTATTTATTTATATTGCTAGAAAATGAAATTGTGGGATATTTATTAAATTCTATTTACGTATATTGGGATAGACATTTTATTATGATTATCGTAATAAGAGTATCACTTTAAAAATACCAATTTCGAAAATGACAACTGCGAATTACTTACTTTAGAGAAAACGTCGTTTAGTGCGTGCTGCGAAGAAATCAGGAGACTGAAGGACGCAGCAATGCTCGCGATCCTTCAATCGACTACTTTTACGCAGTGAAACGGATTTTTTCGATTATAGATTTCGATATCGCTGGTAGACCCTTTTCAAACGTAACACATGTAGCGACGTATAAAATGCTAAGGAGTTGTACTAACTCTCTCGTGGACGACGATCGACATTAACTCTGCAGTAACGTTACGTTTTCCCCAGTGGTTCCTAGTCACTGCCATACTTATTAACGACGAAATCATGAAGAGCGTGACCGGAGAGCTGCTAAAGGAAATTTTTGCCGAACAATATATCGAAAAGTTAAAAAAAAAAAAGAGCAAATACACCTCGTAATGTGTTCGCGTTATTAGCTACTGAAAGCTCTCAAGAAAAATTGGCACAAAGACTGCTGTACTGCAGGGTTTACGGGGAATCGACGAGATATCCGTTAATTAACACTGGCAAAGTAAAGCTTTATAAACTAACGTAGTGATGATGATAATGATGACGATAAAGTTCGGAACACTCGTTCGGAGGATTTGTTCGGGAACCGTTTCTATGTTCCATGTACAATCGTGAAGATCGAATTATTGGTGTCTGTAGAGGTACATATATTTTCTTACGGTATATGGTAATTAGCTGCGCTGCTTCGGCTCGTGAAGAACCCGTTATCCTTGAATTGGTCAACGAAGAAAATGGAGAAAAATCGAGCGGAATTTCTAAAATGATCGCATTAATAACGTAACATAATATAATGTACAATAAAATTGTTTGACCGAGGCATATTTAATTCCGCTGTATTTAATTATCTCAATGTATTGTCAAAAGCTTTGTAAAATGATAATTATTTGCATTCGTAATGAGCTGGGATAATTCACAGAAATGCATAATGTATTTCCTTATTAAAATTCAGAATTTACAGAATAGGTTAATAATGAAGTAAAATATTTAGATAATATATATATGATTCAAAAATACGATACGAGATTAAATGAGGTGTTTACAAAATCAATTTTATCTTTATATATTCTATATTTTAATATGAGAGTGTTCTTAATATAAGATTTTCAATTGACTACAAATTTAGAAATCATTATTTTTGAAAGTAAAATTATAAAATTATTATATAAGTAATAACGAATGAAAAATTCACGTGATTTCTATTGCGATTGTATTATGTAACAACTTTAGATGGCATAGGTCTAACTTTATCAAAGAATAAAAAAGTGATACATTTTTTTGGACTTACGCGCTATAAATTCAGAAAATATATTCAGAAAAATAATTCTAAAGGACGAATTTAAGGGAACGGGCACCTCACTACAGCTAGATGTAAAGTTTCCTTAGGTATCTATTGTTTCAATGTATGAATTGTCTATGTAAAATGCTGGTACTGTTAGCAAAAAGAAGAAGAAAGCTATGTCAACGATAAGTACGCCGAGAGGAAAGAATTACTTTCGAATGATCCGGCCTTTTCGAAAGAAAAAAAAAGCAAAAGAGAAAACGGAGGTGAGACAGAAATAATTCGACGATCTGGCGTGTCTTTTACCAGATTTCCCGAATCTGACCAATCACACAGAACGTCTTTCTAGTTAGCACATGATGACGATGATTACGAACTTGCTGAATCCACGTTTTCATGGTTCGTGAACACAATAAAACAATGACAAACAATGAACATTACGCTATTACAAATATTTATTATAAATAAGATATAACAAATATAAATATAAATATATATATATATTTAATATATATATATATATTATATTGAATTAATGATGATTGAACAAGATGCAATTTTTTGGTACAATAAAACGAAAAGAACCAATACTGTGTTTTATTTGTATTTGTATTGAATAATCCATGTACCTATACTTTTTATGTTGATTATACATCGTTTGACATTTTATAATAACTTATTTATATGATTATCTAACACTTTTTATCTAGCATTATTAGATTATCTAGCACTACTCTTTCAACTGTTGTAGAAAGATGCATCTGTCTCCGTAACATTCCAGTGTGCTGCGAAGTTTAATCTAAATTTATATACTTTGAGCTCCGTATTCAGAACGAGCTTTTATCTCTGAAATTCTATAGTATGCGTGATGTAAATTGTAGTATGTTAACGCGGTAACTGAATAACGCGCGTTCTGAATACGAGCCTGAATATTTATCATATTGAATAAGTAGGTACATTATTCTTTTATTTCTCACCTTTTTCCTCTATCTTCATAAGGTCCCCAATTTACATTGAAATGTATGCATATTGATGGAAATTCTAATTAAAGCCTGAGGAATTTCCCATATCATATTCAATATAATACTGCTTCCACTTGTTACAGATTTGTTGGCGGTTCCTCTAATATTCGTAATTTTTTTCCTTTTTTTCATCATATCCCATACATGTTCAATGGAATTTAAATCTGCACTCATTGATGATTGTAGTATCTCGATGTTGTTTTCTTCGAGAAAGTTAATTGCAATTCTGGTGGTATGTGGGCGAGCGTTGTCCATCAAGATAAAATTGCGTTTTTTTATTCGACGACGCATCGTAATGAAGACATAAAATTTCCTCCACATAATATGCCATAGTCATTCTCGAAGGTGATAAAGTAACAAGATTCGTCGCATAGGGAAGGTGTTGATCACGAAGTAATAAGGAGATCAAACTCGAAGTCTGAAAATAAGTTCGGAAAATCCATGGAAAATCGAGACCTGCTGATTTTAGTGCCATCGCGCCTTGGGAAAAGTTAAAAATATTGGCTGTCACTTGGTTACAGGTCACACGCAGAAAGAAGGTCACACTTGAAAGAAGACATGCCGGCCCAAAATCTGTAATAGCAAAATGCTGCCACGCACTACTGCCCTCTAACAAAGTGGATGTACACTATATAACTCGGAGGATAATGTATCCACTTTTCTGAGGGTAATACGTTCACTTTTCTGAAGGTAATACGTCCACTTTTCAACTCCAGATGATAAATTGATACTTGGTTCATAATCGTGCTACATTCAAATTGTACATCAGAAATATTCATCTCTGCAATCTCTTACATGTGCGTAATGTTTATTTCGCTTAAAACAATATTAACATTAAAGTTGTATTATATTTTTATAAATGTTTAATATTTATATTTTAAATAAGCTACATGTACATATAAATTAAGTCGTATTTCAAGCATTTTATTTTTATTAAATACATTTTTATTTTTATTAAATACATTTTTATTATCCTCAGAAAAGTGGACGTATTATCCTCAGAGCTATGTAGTTTATATTCATTTTGTCAGGGGGCAGTAGTGCGCAGCAGCATTTCGCGGGTTTTGGTCCGGCATATCCTCTCTCGGGTACTTTTTCTCTAGTATTATATATTTCGAGAATTAAAATTTCCCTTAGAGAGAAAGTTTTGGAACATAGCCTAGGACTCTAGAAGTTTCCTTAGTCTTATCTGTTTATCTCTTTGAGGGTACGAGTCAGTTGTTAGGTGTAAACTAGATCTGTCGAATCAGGAACGCTCAGCTGTTCGTGCCTAAAATAAAGAGTTTATTGTATTATAATAACAGCGAGTTCGTATTTGTTCGTTATTTTTCGATATTAACTGATTTTCGGGATCTAAGAACATCAGACCCCAGAATAATACTTGTTCGCATAATTCAGGGCAGTCTCGTATTCATTGCGGACATCTTTAATCAAGTGCGGAGTTTTGACTTCCATTCGTAATTATTTTCATCGATAATTGTAAGATAAAATTTTTTTTCTTTTTTTATTTTTGACAATAGTAACAGGTTACTTAAATTCTTTGACAAAGAAAAACGAATAACACGGGCATACCGGGCATGTGGTAAATCGACAGTTTAATCAGGTAGCTTTACACCGACTAATTAGTAAAAGTACGCTTGAAATCAATTTATTTATATATTAGATAATATATAAATAAAGCTTTTTTATTAATTCGTTATAAACTTCCGTGCAAATAAATATTTAACACTTTATGTGCAATCATTATATATGATAAATTTTAAATTAGCAACATTTAATACAATCACAGTTTTACACGTTATTACGTGATTTTCGTTATTCAGTTAGGGGCTACAATAAAAGGAATAGGGAACAGAGAACAGAGATAAGAATTTCAACCTAGCAGAAACTGCATTCCACAATACGATTTATGATAAGTTGAAATTCATATTCTGTTTCCTGTTCCTTTTACTGTGTGAAGCCCCTTATGGTATTCACATTACTGTCTTAAAGATGCTTGTTTATTTTGAATTTTTTTGTTATCATTTATGCAAATTTACAGTAAATCATCTAAACAATGTCTTCTCGAGGAAATTATGATCACATTCTCACAACAAACTTTAAAGTTTATATTAAAGACGAAGTAAGTGTAAATTAAATTATTTTGTGATTTATAGAATTTAAATAAAATTTATAGCAGATATTTTTATTTTAATTATATATTTTATAAATTTAAGAATGAATGTTATATGTAAATATATTGCATGTTCTTTGATATTCCATATAATTTTTATTACATTTCAATGATTTAAATCACATAAATCACTACATGTATACGAAACATTGTATTTATTTGATACATATATATATATCTTAGGAATTATTAGAAATAAAAAAGAATGAAATGGATATGTGTAGAACCGTAAAAGAAATTCGATGGATAAGACGCGATTTAAAGGTACTAAAAGAACTATTTCATGCAAACCAAGTTCTTTCATCCGATCTTTCTGTATTAAATGAAATTGCAAACAACATAAACTCATCAGACGAAACATTACAATTGACAGCATTTCAAATGTACAGAAAATTAGGTCGAGAAAGGAATACTGTGAATGATATGATAAAAGGTGGCATCTTATCACGCTGCATTGAATTTTTAGACAGCGACAAGTATGTACCTATGAAAATAGAAAAACAATTCATAGAATTAAGTAAATTATTTATGACCGTTCATTGAGCTCTTATGCAGCATATATACAGTGCCCGCCAAAAATTTCAAGTCGACTAAATATCTCAAAAAGTATGCATTTTTAAGAAAAATATTTTAGATAAAAATTTTAGGATTTAAAAAGATCTACTTAATGATCTTATCAGTTTGACCTTGGATGGCGTCACCAATATCAGGTCAAGGTCACATCGATTTTTTTAAATTAATCGTTCTATTTTTGATTCCAGAGTCTAATAGCTGATATCAAAAACTTTTCAAAAGTATAATAAAGTTCATTTTTATTAAACAAGATGTAGAGAAAGATTTATATAATCAAAATTACACGGTGTAAAGGGGGCTATTATATACTGATAATAATTTTCGTCTAGATGGAGGCGTCAAAAAGATATGAAGGTCCTCCATTTTTTAAATAAAAGTATTAAGATTGTATATCAAAAACCAATAGTTAACGAGATATTTTACATTTTATTCTGATACATATTGACATAAAATGTTAAATAAATTCGTAAACTATTAACTTTTTGATAATCATATCTTAATACTTTTACGAACAAAATAATGAGACGAATCAGTTAGTGAAAAGAAAACACATAGTTGCTTATTTTTTAAAAAATTATCCATTTTGCATACATATTTTTTTAAAGCAACGATATGTTTTCTTTACATTAACTAATTCATCCCATTATTTTGTTCATAAAAGTATTAAGATATGATTATCGAAAATAGTTTACGAGTTATTTAACATTTAATAGTTTAAGAGTTATTTAACATTTTATGTCAATATGTGCCAGAATAAAGTGTAAAATATCTCGCAACTATTGGTTTTTTGTTACTATCTTAATTCATTTATATGCAGAATAATTAGAGGAATATATATCATATTGTGTAAAAAAAAATCGCAATTTCATTTAAAAAAATGGAGGTGAACTTTATATCTTTTTGGTACCTCTATCTAGAAAAAAAAAAACAACATGACCAATACATCCTCCTCGAAACTATTTCACTTTCATTTAAAACATTTTGTGTATCAGCAAAAATAAACGAAATATTCAAGATGTTTGATTAAAATCACTTTGTATACCTACACACACACACACACACACACACACACACACACACACACACACACACACACACACACACACCACACACGCTAATAAAAATGTTTTCTAACTTCTTTATATTTCCAATTTAATCGTATGTTATTGACTATTTTTTTTTTATCTATTTCTTGATATATTCATATATGAATAAGGCAATTTTTTAAATTCTATTTGTAGCATCTGCCTGCAATTTGAAGTAATATCTTTATTAACTGTTATTACTTCGAGAGGATTCGAAGAATCGGAGAATTATATAAAATATGAAGCAATACCAAAATTAATGAAACTACTTAAGTCTACATCTTCAATTATTGTCGAACAAACAGTTTATGTGTTAGGAAATATAATTGATATTCCCTATGCACGTGATCTTGCTTTTGAACATGATGCTATATCTGTTTTAGTTGATTTAATTAAACCTGATACTTCAGTAAGTGATATTTTATTTAAAAATATTCTTTGACTATTTATCTTGCTTGCTTTCTTATTGTCAGCACAGATATTCAGAAACAATATTTTTGTTTGTTTGTTAGAGAGTCGGTATATAAACGTTATTTGTAAATCAAATAGTAATCAGTGACAAAATTTTTAAGAGACATTTAGTAACAATTAATTATTAAATATACAATACTAGCAATGAATAAATTTTATAATATTATAATATCATAAAATATTTTGATTTATGTATATATAATTTTGTATTGTACTTTCTAATACTCTGGTTCTTGTAATATTATATTCTTAATGTTATTTTGCGAAAAACTGAAGATAATTAAATTATATCGATATTTTCAATTACAATATTCAGATAGTAATATTCTGAATACTACGTTTAATTATTTAAATTACAATTAATTTAAGAAATGAGATTTATAAGTAGTGCTTAAAAGAGAGAAATATATACTATACATAAATGTAGAGTATCTATGTATAGCAATGTCAAACTAAGCTTCTTATAGAGCTGACATAAAAAGTAAATATAATAATTCATAAAGAAATGAATTGATATAGCAACGTTTGTAGCGTTTAACATAAAAGCTAGCAATAAAACTTAGTTTTGTGTTAAATAAAATTTTAAAAGTATGTTTTATTAAGTAGATCATATTCCAATATTTTTTGATACTGAGAAAACATGCAGGTGACATTCATGGACAACATCTCGTGGCTTTTATCTAGTTTATGTCTAAGGAATCCACCTCTAAGTCTTGAATTGATTAAACCTCTTCTGCCAGTTTTTGATCGTCTATTAAATAGTGAAAATAACAACATAATCTGTAAGATATTCGCGATTTATCTGTTACTTTAGTATCTATCGTTACTTTAGTATTATGTATTTTATTCCTTATGGAAAAATATTGTCAGATTTGTGCAAAACTATTTGAACGGATATTGTACAATATTTAAATTAAATGAATAATCTTTTAACTATTTCCAATAGTTTTTCGCGAGTTGAATTTTTCCATAAGGAATTCTAATTTTGAGATACTTACATTGTTGTTTAATTTAGCCGATACCTGCCGGATACTTTATTACCTTACTGATGGAGTTAACGATAATATACAAGCGATAATGGAAACTGGCATTCTACCGAAAATTTTAGATTGTTTGATATCGAAAATGAAAAGTATCTTTATCCCAGCATGGTTCACCGTAAGAAATATAGTGGTAATGGGTGATAATACTCAAAGAGATGCTGTCATCTCTGCAGGAGGATTGTTGCGTCTTCGTTCTTTGTATTGGTATTATGCTAACTGTCAAGATATTATTGCAAAGGAAATTCTTTGGTTAATTTGTAAAATGGCAAGCAATACGGACCAAATCCAAAGTGTAATAGATGCTGGACTGTTAATGGTACTGATAAACGAAATTCTATTTGTAAGTATTTAATAAGAATAAAATTGATTATGGAATTAGTAACTGGTACATAGTACCAGCAATTATTATACTTAGTACATTCTTTAATTTTACATATCGAATATATGCACGTATTTTATCACCAAATTTAGTTCATTTATATAATTTGGAAGCTACATTCAAGGCTCTAAGCTATGGACTAAAGTTATATATATTTAATATCAATATATTATATATTTCTCAAAATTACGTACAGAATACATCCTAAAGTGGATCGGAGAAAATGTTTTTACGATATGATAAGCATATAGGATTAAAAGATATCATTTAATACCCAGATAATAGATGAAAAGTTTCAAGTTAATCGAAGAATGGCTTTAACTGAAATTTTTCTCTCAGAAGATCTATGAAGATTTAGTTTAATTTATAGAAAAATATGAAAATACATCCGATATATTTGTGTAATTTAAATAGTATTGGATAATCGTAATTAGATACAAAATTATAATTAAGAAAACTATTTGACCATTAAAGCCCAATTTCACAATATACGGTTATCTAAAGATTAAACCAAGAAATTCATGAATGAATTTTATTGATGAATCTGTTGGTAACCTTTAATCTTTAGGTAATCATATATTATGAAAACAGGCTTATCTGAAGAAAGATTCACAATTTCAAATGCATGTATAAATTATGAATAAATTTTATCAATTACTTTGGGCTTGTTTATGATCACAGTCTGTTATTGTTCTAAAATCTTTGTTTTATGTCAATTTCTTGTCAATATATTAATCGAACAAATGTCTCATCTGTTTTCTCCGTTAACTTTGTATGCGATTTTATGTCATCAACTTTATTTTTATAACATCTTTCTACGATAAAAAGATAGATTTAATAGCAATTAGTTAATATTTATATACTATCTATGCTTGTTATGTACTATCTATGTTTGCATTTTTTAATTTGGAAACATCATGATTGAATTGGGATGGGTCAGGGAGAAACTCACTATTAGATAGTAGCCATCTCCACACAAGAGTTGTACAATCCTTTCTTTCATAAATAAAAATATAAAGACCTTATTTTCAGAATTAATATGTCATTTGAAGTGTTAAGCATTTTGCAATCTCTCAGAACAATGGTACATTAGAATGAAAAAATGGCTAAAATTGGCGGTTTAATCTGTTCTGTAATTCTTTTAAATTAACAGTCGGAAAGTTTTCTAATTATTATATTTTTGGTTTAAATGTCATCATTTGATATTAATTGATTATCATTTCACTGACAAATAACATAAATACGTCAAATACACAACTTTTTATTTTCCAAAAATTAGAAAATATATAAAACTTGAACTCAAAATTCCAAATAAATTAAAATTTTAGATCTGTCCTCCGAATAAATTAAAATTTTATAATTGTTATTTGCACTTTTTTTGATATATTTTTCTTATTGTAAAAATAATTTTTTTTCGATTCATCCTATATACACCTGTAAAAGTATCCTACAAAACTGATACAATTTTCACAACACAGTAAACAGTGTGACTAATATAGCAGTGTTGTCACATTTAAATAGATTGTGAATTCAGCATAAACTATACAAGATATCGTGATATTTTACATATTCCATAACTACTTCCTTTTTACTATAGTTATGCATAAGAAATTAAACTCGTTTTAAATATTGATACAAAATAATACAAATATTTTGATACAAAATTTCATAGGTCAATATATATAATGCTATAAATTTTTTTAGAGAAATGCAAAAGTAATAGCCATATGGGCTATGACTACTATGATAACGAAAGCAACAATTCAACAGTTTAATCAGTTTGTGAATGCTGGTATATTACCAGCTCTTTGTAATTTACTTCTCTCAAACGATACCTATATTATTAATGCCTTAACTGGTCTGACTAAAATCTTGCATGCTGCAGAGAAAATAGGACTAGTAGAAAAACTTACCATTGTGATAAAAAAAATTGGAGGATTAGATAAAATAGAAGCTCTTCAACATCATAAGAATGAGAAAGTTTATAAAAAATCTTTGGCCATAATAAATGTTTTTTTTAAAAAGGTTTGTTGTTACTTTTATATGTTTATTTATGTTGAAAACAATTTATGTAGGAAAACCTTATTTTTTTTTTCTAAAGAGTTTTTAATTTTATCTGAATAAGGAAAACATATTATAAATAAAATTATAATTTTATATTTGTACTAAAATGAACGTCATTGTTCATAATATTAATTAGATAAAAATTTCCATATATATGTGTGTGTGTGTGCGTGCGTGCGTGCGTGCGTGCTTGTGTGTGTGTGTGTGTGTGTGTGTGTGTGTGTGTGTGTGTTGTGTGGGACTGTTCAACATATTTAAAATTATGAAAGATTTAGGATATCTTTCATATATTTAAAATTTATACATAAATATCTTGCACGCTTTATGATATCGTACATAATTTATGTTCAATTATGTGATAATTATATATATCCAAAGAAGATAATCAATTGTCAAAATATAATATTCAGACCGAGCCAGAACTTCCAAGTTTATTAACAAAAGCCATTGTTCCATCTTTTCTTTTAAATGAAACTATACCTAAAATTGTACAAGACCTGCCACTATTATCAGACAAAGCATTACACATATTGGCAATTCAAGTTTATAGCAAATTATTTAATTCAAAAACAAAGTCTTTTGCAAGTGATATCGTAGAAAGTGACGTATTACCACGCTGTATTGAGCTCTTAGATAGTGACAAGTATGAAAACTATAAAAATAATTTATTTATTTAAATAAAATATTTCTTCGTATATTGTGCAATGGTAAATATAATATTTAAGATATAATTTTTTTATTTTTATTTAGTTTTGTCTTGCAAGTTGAATTAATATCTTTGTTAACTGCTGTAACCACGAATATATTTTCCAAAGAAGCGCAGTATGTTATAAAAAATGGAATAATATCAAAATTAGTGAAGCTACTTAAGTCTTCATCTTCTAATGTTGTGGAACAAGCAGTGCATTCTTTAGGAGTTATAATCAAAGATAGACCATATACACGTGATCTTGCTCTTGAACAAAATGCCCTACCTTCTTTGGTCGACTTAATTAAACCTGATATCCCAGTAAGTAACTGTATTTAACAATATTCTTTAATTACGTTATCTTACTTTTTATATTGTTATTATTAACTCCAAAGACAATATTTTTTCCGTTTATTTAAGAAATGTATGAATGAAATTCGCATATTGTACAATAAATGTAATAAATAATTGCTAATTTTTTGTAAAATTAAATTTTTAAAAGAAAAATTATATTCATATAATTTTTTTTGTTAATAGTAGCAATAAATCAATTTTATAATTTTACATTTTTCTCTTATATGCAAGAAACTGAAGATAATCAAATTATGCCAATATTGATTTAAAACATTTAGGTAGAAATATTTTTCATTCTGTTTACTTAATAAAGTTATAACTAATAAAGTTATAATAAATAAATTTAAATAGTGCCTAAAAGAAAAATTATTATACGGGAAAAATATAGTTATGCTTTGATAAAGTGAACTTTTTAACTGCAAAGTAAAATAATTATCAATGAATATATAAAATTACATAGGAAAGTGTAAAGTTATTCATTGTAAAGAATGAATACTAAATACTTTAAGAGATTTTAAAAGATGATTCTTTATATAAGTTTAAGCTGAAAATTTCATGACTTATTATTATTTCATTCGACTTATATATCCGAAATGGCTTAGTTTCAAAGATACTGGTTGTCAAAATTGAAAAAAAATTCGTTTTTTTTTTTCGAAAACTTTAAAAACCACTTGAATTATTTTGCAGTTTTAAACATATAGAGTTTCATTAAAATAAAATAACTCAAGTGTTTTTTGAAATTTTTGAGTAAAACAAAACTTTTTTCTTTTAGTTATCCTGTATCTTAAAAATTAAGTCGTTTCAGATATGAAATTTTCATCTTGAATTTGTGTGAGAAATCACTACTTAAAATCTTTTAGAGTAATTAGTATCAACTCTGTATATTGAAGAGCTATTTCTTCTACAATTATTGTAATAAATAATAAATATTTCAACAATGATAATCTCAAATATTAAATGTACTATTCGTTTGCGAGTAATTATTTATTATTTAAATTACAATATAGTTTCTATAAATAAGTCTCTCTCTCTCTCTCTCTCTCTCTCTCTCTCTCTCTCTCTCTTTTCTCGATAATCATTTATTTTATCTGATATCAGGTCGAGATCATAATTCTTTTTGATCTATTAGGTCAGATATGTGGAATATATTTATATTGAAATGAAATATTTCTTGAATTACTTTCTTATTTTCTTTTTTTGTTAGCATTTGCTAACAAAATTAGCTTTTACCTTATATGCTTTTAAGAAAACGCTCTGAAGTATGAAACAATGATAACGATGTTTTGTTAGCGGTTAGCACAAAAACTAACAAGACAAACTTAGCTTTTATGTTAAGTAGAATTTTAAAACTATGTTTGTTTTAATAAGTAGACAATATTTCAATATTTTCTAATACTAATTTTCTAAAATGATACAGACAGGATCTATTTGCAACATTGTAAGGACTTTAACTTATTTATGTGAAAAATCGGATTCGGCTTTATCTCTTGAATTAATTAGGCCTGTTCTACCAATATTTAATTACCTATTCAATAGTGGAAATCAAGATTACGTGAATCCAGAATTACGTTGTAAGAAATCACGTTTTATCTATTTTATATTAGGTATAGTAAAAAGAAATCCATTATTTTTCCAATAGATGGCTCTCGCGTTGCGAGATACAGATTTGGAAAAATAATGGATTTCTTTTTACTACACCTAATATATTGTATAATTTATTTTAAATGTTTAAGATATTTACTATGAATTTTTTACGTTACTGTTTGTTCCAGCCAATACTTGCAAGATGCTCTCTTACATTACCTATAAATCCAACCATAACATACGAGCAATATTGGAAACTGGCATTCTATTGAAAATTTTTGAATGTCTGACATCGAAGGATGAAAATATTCTTATCCCAGCGTTGCGAACAATTAGAAATATAGTAGGAATGGATGAGCCGGCTGAATCGGATGCTTTAATTTTAGCGGATTGTTTGCCGTATTTTTGTTCCTTGTTGCAAAATTATCGTGCCAATCAAAATATTACAAAGGAAATTGTTTCGATTATCTTTGGAATGATTAATAACATGAATCAAGTTCAAAATGTGTTAGATGCTGGTCTGTTACCACCAATGATAAAAATATTTGTGTTTGTAAGTATGTTTAGGTAAACCCGAAATGATCAGCCGAATATCTATTCTAACTATTTTTGTACTCAAATGGATAGAAATGCGAAATATATTTTTCATTACGTTGTATTTGAATGTATTCATGTCCGTATTTTATTATTTTTTTATTGAACTGGAAAAATATTTGAGTTTGTAAGTATGTTTAGGTAAATCCGAAAATATTTGTTTTAACTATTTTTGAACTCAAATGGATAGAATTATGAAATTTTCTTTTCATTATTGTATTTGAATGTATTCATGTCTATTATTTTTTGATTGAACTGGAAAAATCAGGAGCGCGAATTTGTAAATATCGAAATGAATTAATTTTTATTCATTTCAATTCATTCTTTTTTACTGTACTGTTAGTACAAATCAGATATAAATAAAAATTTATTATTAATTGTAACTGATAATAATAAATTCATATTCGCAACAATAACTAGCGTCGGCTCTCAGAGATTTTTTATTTATTTTTTACTTATGCTATTAGATCCTACGTAATTTTGAGATTGTAGTACTGTGGATATGTGTACACACACACACACACACACACACACACACACACACACACACACACACACACACACACAATAAATATATGCATATTTGTTTATAGGGAAAAGGAATGGTTCGAAAGATGACTGAATGGATCTTAATGGATTTAATCTCGCGTGCAACAAGTCAACATCTGACCGAATTAGTAAATGCTAATATACTGTTAGCTCTTTCTAGTTTATTGGGAGAGAAGAATCATAAGCATATTATTAGTGCTTTAAATGGTCTAAATAATATCTGGGATGTTGCAGAGAAAGTAAAACAAAGAGAAAAACTTGTCACTACATTCAAAGAAGCTGGAGGATTAGATAAACTGAAAGCTCTTCAATATCATGAACATGAAATAATTTATGAAAAATCTATGATTATGATTAGCTCATTGTTTTCTTAACGAGTTTATATACTGATTTTATGTTTGTAAATCGAAAACTATTGATAAAAGTTCTTATTTCTTTTCATAAATTTTAATCTAAATAAGCAAAATACATGATTATACATGGAATCATAATTTTTAATAACTTCATTAAATTAAATAATAAAACTAATTACATGTTATTAATGTAATAAACTAAACTAAAATTTAATAAATAGACTATTTTTAAAATATTGAAAAATTTCTCCTGAATTTAAAGAGATTTTTTATTGAATTTAACAGATTGAATGATGGACTGATTAACAAATTTAATTCCTTGATGAATTTATTTTTGAATTCGCACTGAAAAACTATTATACTTAAGAGATCAATCGATACGAGACTTGATTATTATTTTGTAATACATGATAATAACTATTTAAAAAGAATTAGAATAGATATTAACTAATCAAGTTATAGAAAAATTGCATGACAAAAAGTACTCGCTAAAAAGCATTTACATTTAATCAAATATAAATATAATTATACGCAGTGTCTCAGTAATTTATTACAAGGCAATAACTTCATTACATTTAGTGATACGCGGAAATGCCTAAGGAATAAATTGTTTGATTCGAAGGATTACATGAAGGGATATTATGATGGGAATCATTTTTTTCTCATATTTTTAGTTATTTCTAGGTTATCGATTTTTTAAATAGGGCTACATATTTCTATCTTATAGCGTAAGAACTGAAGTCGAGACGAATCCAATGACGTATACAATGATCTTCATGTGATCTTAAGTACGAAAAATTCAGAAATTTTGAGAATGGATGCAAATAATGAAATAAGTACAACAGAAAGGAAAAAAATTTATTGTAATAAGAAAGTATTAAAAATAACATCCGTTTACCTTCTGCAATGCATTGAATATTTTATATGCAAATAGATGGAAGAGAAAGTCTTACTCCTTTGCCCCCACATTTTTCCTGATATTAATCCGCTAGATTTTTTTCATTAATGGGCATGGAGGTATTGTCTTGTAACAGAGTTATTGAGAACAATATAATTTTAATATAATACACGTATATTGTTGAATGGGAAATTACAACTAACGTTACATGTAACTTTGTGTTTGCTGGGTTTATTTAAAAATCACCCATGGTCAAATCAATAATACCTTCTTATGTTTCTTATTGTTTGAAACATTTTTCTGTATCCACCATAGTTTGTGGAAAATTTTAATGAGTTATTTAATGTAGAACACCCTGTATATATTAAGTCATTGTAAAAATAGATATTATCAGCGATTCATGCCCGAAATAAAGAGTTTATTATATGATAATAACAGCGAGTTCGTATTTGTCCGATTATCGACATTAACTGATTTTCGGGATAGAAACATCAAAAAATCTCAGACTAAAACAAAACTCACGCACAATCTCGAACATGTCTGCTCATTATAGATATCTTTAATCAAATGCGTAATTTTGACTTTTATTCGATATCTATTTTCATCAATTTCAATAAATGCAAAAGATAATATTATTCTTTTTACTTTTAATAGTAACAATCAAACAAGTTACTTAATTTCTTTGATAAAGAAGAACGAGCTCACGTAATAAAATCGACTGCTTATTCAGGTAACTATAACACTAGCTAATTAGTAAAAATATGCTTGAAATCAATTTATTTACGTATTAGATATTATATATTTTATTAATTCGTTATAAACTTCCATATGAATAAATATTCAACACTTTGTGTGCAATCATTATGTATGATAAATTTTAAATTAGCAACATTTAATACAATCATGTTTTTTTACGTATATCGTATTACATCGTAATGTTTATTATTCATATTTTTATTATTAGTATTCACTTATTGTTTTAAAAATATTTTGTTTATTTCTAATTTTTTTTAATGTTTGTGCAAGTAAATTTATAGTAAATCATCATCAATCAAATAATATCTGTTCGAGAAGATCAAAATAATAGATCCATAAAAAATTTTGATGTTGATAATAAAAGCGAAGTAAGTATAAATTAAACTATTTCGTTATTTATAAAAATTAAATAAAGTTTATAGCACTTAAAATTTTATTTCAATCATATATTTCATAAATTTGAAAATGAACGTAATATGTGAATACATTGCATGTTTTTTGATATTTTATAATAATTTGTATTTAAATCATTTAAATTACTACATATATACGAAATATTTTACTTATTTGAAACATGTATATCTATTTTAAGAATTATTAAGAATAAAAAAGGATGCAATAGAACTGTGCAAAGCCATAAGTACAGATCATTGTTAAAACGCAAATTTGGTGTACAACAAGAATTATTTGATTTAATGCTCAAAGCTTCTCTTTCACTCGACCTTTCTGTATTAGATAAAATTGCAAACAACATAAACTCGTCAGATGAAACATTACAATTAATGGCAATTCAAACTTACAGAAAATTAGATCGAGAAAGGAATACTGTGAATGATATGATAAAAGGTGGCATCGTATCACGCTGCATTGAACTCTTAGACAGCGACAGTATATACCCACATGAAAATAGTTTGTTATAAACAGCAAACAAATTTGACAATTAAATTTTGCAATTATTCGGGTTAGGAAACTCGTCACACTGATGAAAAATAGCAACATGAGGATATGAATAGCAGATTTGTAAAATGCGACCAAAACTTTGTCCAAAACTTGTAATTTTCAGAAAACGAGAAAGAAAGAAACGCACTTTACAAAAAATAATAATATGTCAGTAGAATGTAATATTAAACAAAATTGCTTAACAATTTCAAAAAATGTTAAACAACTGCATTTTGTTTGTTTTTAATTAAAATAAATGCTATTAATTACAAGATTCATTTCGAAAAGTCTGTTTTTTTAGCATATAAATTAACACATCTTATCGATAACGTTATCTTATCGATAACAGCATGTTAACGATGTTTTAAATCGATCAGTGTTCTCGATTCTCAGAAAAACTTTAATCATGATATGATTATAATATCGGACAGACTCCGTTATTATGGCATCAAAAATAGACTCAATTAGCTGTCATATCCGAAATAAAGAGTTTAGTATATGACGCGATAATAACAACGAATTCGAACTTGTCAGTCATTGACATTAAGATAAACAAGTAACACGAACATACGCAAGGGAACTTGCAGTTTGATCAGGTAATTATTGCACTGGCTAATTACTAAAGATATGCTTGAAATCAATTTATTTATAGATATATAAATAAAACTTTAGTCATGTTTATTTATATATATTTGTTAGATATCTATAGAAATAATTATATTTGTTATGGAAAGTAAATTTGAAAATAAGAACGTTTAACATATAATCATGTTTTCGTTTTATACATTGATTGTATTATAATATAATTCGAAAGTTCTTCACATAATGAAATGTAAATTTTGATTAAGTTAATTATAGACGCATTCTATCAGATTCGGATAAATGTATAAATTATTTCTCTTATTGTACTCTAATCTATCATTATCATTATGAGTATATTTCTAATTTGAATCTTTTTTTTTTAAATATTTATGCAGTAAATTTACAAGATCTTCGAGACAATGTCTTCTCAAGAGGATGACAGCAATAAACACATAGCAAAATTTGAATCTGATATGATTGAATTTAATAGCACATATGTAGTAAGCGTATATTAAATTATTTTCTAATTTATAGAACTCAAATAAAAAATTTATAGCAGTCAACATTTTTATTTCAGTTCTTTATATATTTCATATATTTTAGATTCAACTTATATGTTAATATACTGTATATCTTTTTCGTTATTGTATATTTAATTTATGTTGAGATATTTCAATTATTTGATAGGATATACTACTAGATGTGTATGAAATATTTTATACGTACTTATAATATATGTATATATTTTTTAGAAGAAACGAATAATAAATAACGCAATGCAGTTATGTAAAGCCATAAAAGATAATCGATTATTTAAACGTAATCTTGATATGGAGCAAGAACTAATAGATTCTCTTTCATCCACTTCCAATCTTTCTGTAGATAAAATTGTGAACTACATAAACTCGTCAGATGAAACATTACAATTACTGGGAATTCAAGCTTACGTAAAATTAAAACGAAACAAAAATCCTTCTATAAATGATACGATGGAAGGTGATATATTATTATGCTGTATTAAACTCTTAGACAATGACAAGTTAGTACACGAAAATCAGAAATATGATTTATCAAATTAAGTAAATTGTTTGTTTATGTATGAATTATTTATAAATAAGATATAATTTCCTTATTTCTATTTAGTATTTCCTTGCAATTTCAAATAGCATCTCTATTAGCTATTATAACTTCGAATTCATTCAAACAAACGCATGTTATAATATGTGAAGTAATACCAAAATTAGTAAAACTACTTAAATCATCGCCTATTGTTGCGGAACAAGCAGTGCGTGCCTTAGGAAATATAATTAAAGACAAATCATATGCATGTTACTATGCTTTTAAATATAATGTTCTATCTCTTTTGGCAGATTTAATTAAATCTGATACTTCAGTAAGTAATATTTGATACTATTGATTATATCATTCTTGATTATCTCACTTGCTTTCATATTGTCAGTATTGACAATATAACTCCGAAAGGGAAGCTACTATCTCAATTTCTATGAAACTTGGCGAACATATTGAGTATTCCTTCCTAATATACTATTATCCATCAAGAAATAAAAATATAAATTAAAAAGGATATTTATTATCTCGAAAATAATTTGTTGTCTGCGCCGTTGTCTCAAAGAGGATAATATTATAATATATCAGGAAAGAATATTCAATGTGCTTGTCAAGTTTTTTAGACGTTAGTATGTTTAGTGTGACAAAATATTTTTAAAATCACCTGCATTCGATAATAGTTGATTGTTGATACTAGCAATGAATGATTTTTGTAATATTATACTTCTATTTTTATTGCAAAAAAGTGAAGATAATCGAATTATATCCGTTAGTTTAGAATATTTAGGTAGTAATATATATTTGTAACACTATGATTATTTAATTAAATTACAACTAATTTAAAAAAATAATACTTAAATGGAGAGAGAGTGTTTGAAAGAGAGAATTATATATTATACAAAACATGTGTAACTAGCATTAATAAACTGAGCTGCTTGTTAATAATTGTTATAGAAACTAAATAATAATTATTTATAAAGAAGTAAGATTATATACGAAAGTACAGAGTAATTCATTATATATTAAGAAATTGTTTATTCCACAATTATTATAAATTTTTTGATAATTAAGATCCTAAATCTACTGTCTGAGAGAAATTAATTAAATAATCTTTTTCAAAGAATTACTAGCTTTTCTTCACAATATTTTATTTTATCTGATAACAATGTGAGATTATAATTTTTTTTAGTAAAAATTTACATTAGAGAAGCATTTCCCAATGACCTCAATCTTGACATATGTTGTCAAGGTCATGACGCTGAGTTATCTCCAACGGGTTTTAGTTGTCTCATTGGAGGATGCTCCCCTAATGTAAATTTTTATCATTTTTTATCATTTTTTTTTTATTTATTACATAATTTATATATATGAAGTATATATTTATATTGGAATGAAATATTTCTTGAGTTTTTAATTTATTGTTGTTCTTGTTTAGTTTTGTTTTTTATTTATTAGTAATTAGCATATGAATTAATAATATGTGTTGGGTAATTGAAAGCGCGCTTATGATTTTATTGCACTGTCTCTTCTAAAAAAAAAAACATATATAAACAAGTAATAATAATGTATTTTTCCTAGGAAATTTCCTAGGAAATTACAACATATTTTTATCAAAATACTTTGAAAGATACGATGATAACAGTTTGTAAGTTTTTTTTAACATAAATGTTAGCAAGACAAGTTTAGCTTTTACGTCAAGTAGAATTTTAAAACTGCGTTTCTTCTAATAAGTAGACAATATTTCAATATTTCTGATTTTGATAAAATATCAATGCAGGTTATATTCATGGACAACATTTCATGGCTTTTATCTAATTTATGTCAAAGGAATATATCTATAGATATTGAATTGATTAGACCTGCTCTACCAGTATTTCATTGCCTATTTAATATTAAAAATCAATACGTAATTTGTAAGATATTCGCGTTTTATCTATTTTATTGTTATTTTATACATTATATAATTTATTTTAATTTTTAAATATTTATAATATCCCTATTTGTTGTAGCCGACATCTGCCGGACACTCTCTTACCTTACCGATGGATTTATCGATAATGTACAAGCAATAATGGAAACTGTAGACATTCTACCGAAACTTTTAGAGTGTCTGATATTGAGGAAAGAAACTATCGTTATTCCAGCATTGCGTACAGTAGGAAATATAGTGACAATTGGTGATGATGCACATAAGAATGCTGTAATTTCCGCGGGAGGATTGTCGCGTCTTGGTGACGTGTTACGATATTATTTGTGTATCGATGAGGAAGATATTGTAAAAGAAGCTTTTTGGGTAATTTTTAAAATGGTGGACAATACAGATCGAATTCAAAGTGTAATGAATGCTGATTTGTTACCACTACTGATAGAAGGACTTCAGTTTGTAAGTATGTTTCTTATATTCTATTCTTGTGCATACACGAGAAAATACACGAGCCACAAACTTGTTTTAAATATTTCGATAAAGAATATATCATTATATATATTGTAGATATATATTGTAGATAAGAATATATTGTACATAAATATATAATTATTTATATAATTTTATTTTAGGGAAATGCACAAAAAATAGCCACATGGATTGTAATTGCCTTGATAACTAGAGGAACGATTCAACATTTAATCCAATTAATACAAGCTGGCGTATTGCAAGCTTTTTGTAATTTACTTGAATCAAACAATTGTCTAAATATTATTAATGCCTTAATTGGCATGGCTGAAATCTTGCATGCAGCAGAGAAAGTAGGACAAGCAGAAAAACTTGCCATTATGATCGAAAAATTTGGAGGATTAGATAAAATAGAAGATCTTCAATATCATAAGAATGAACGAATTTATACAGAATCTTTGGCTATAATCAACGCGTATTTTCTCCAAAGGGTTTGTATTTGTAAACATTTATTCAATGTTCACAAATAAAAAAATTATTTATGTAGAGAACTTCATTTTTATTATAGAAAATTTTACGTTTTTCTAAATAAGCAAAATATATTATAAATAAAATTATAATTTTATCTGTATTGTATGGTATTAATTACATTATTAATTTAATAAAAATATTCATATTCCCTGTCTAACAAAAATGAAAAGTTACATTTTAACGATATCTGTTTTATATATTTAAGATTTAATTTTATGTGTATTGGGAAAAAATATAATCAGTTTTAATAACTATTAGTTGAATACTGCAAACTAATTATTAAATATAAAAATATATTTATTTAGTACAAGAACCATTAATTTGATTGGACAATAATTTTTCTTATTGAATAAATATTTATTTATTGTAAGTTTAATTGGTAATATTGAATTAAATATTTATTAAAACTAATTATGTTTTTTTTCTCAATGTATAAACGGCTTGCATGCTTTTTGATTGTATATATAATTTATTAAAACAATTCGATATTGGGAATGTTACTACATAAAGTTACTCGTCACTAATTTTTTAAAATAGCAATATTTCTTTTCGTTACTTTTTTCTAATGTTAAAATAAGATACATTAGGTTTAGAAATTAAATACATTATTTAATAATTAATATTAATCCATATTAATAAATATAATAAATATTAATTGTAAAAATATATATATATATATTAATATTAAAACTCAAAAATTTAATTTAATCTATATAGCAAGCTTTTCTTTACATTAAACTTATATTTAATACGTCTTTATGATAATTATATAAATATTTTTATTTTTTAATTTATATTATATATTTTTAATCTATATGTATAATACGCTTACCTTTAGGAAATTAAATAATTGTAATTTTAAATGTAAATTTTGTTAAAAATTTTTTAACATTGTTTTTAAACATTAATTAAATGTTGTTTCATTAAGAGTGCATTTCAATCTACTGCCAATACTGAAAATTTATAGTTTACGATATGTATATTCTACAGATTTTTAATATTGACAATGATTAGATCAGAATGTAGCCCAAGATACAAAATATTTATCGATATTTACATTTTTATTATAAAATATTTCTAGTCAATGAAAAATAATACGATCTATTAAATAGTTATAAAGATAAAAAGAGACTAAATAAAGTAATAGTTGATAAAGTAATAGTTGAATTATATCGTTACTAAAAAAATGTAACGATATTTTACCGTTACAAAAAAGTAATGTAAATGATAACACGTTACTTCCTAATCTTTTATTTTAATTATTTAATACAATCGCTATAAGTAGATGCAAAACATTTTACATATTTTATGTTTACATATTTCTTAGGAGGCACGAATAAATGAAGATACATTATCAGTAGAGCTATGTAAAGCCAAAGAAGATGATCGATTGTCAAATCTTGATACGAATCAAGTATTACCAGATTTATTAAACGTAAATATTACATTAACTTCCCGTCTTTCTATAGAAGAAATTGTAAAGTACATATATTCATCAAACGAAACATTACAATTATTGGCAATTCAGAATTACAAAATCTTAATATGTGATAGAATATATGATGCGAATAATATAGAAGATGACATAGTATCACGTAGTATTGAACTCGTAGATAGCTGTCGCAAGTACGTATTTGAAAACTGAAAAAATTATTTGTCGATTTAAGAAAATTGTTTTTTCATATATTTAGGAATAAGATATCATTTCTTTATTTTTATTCAGTTTTCGCTTACAATTGGAAATATTGCATGTATTGACTCGCATGAGTTTGGGTACATTCAAACAAAAGCAAAGTATTATAAAACATGGAGTAATATCAAAATTAGTGAAGCTATTTGACTCCACAGTGTCTTTTATTTCAAGAAAAGCAGTGCATATTTTAGGAAATATAACGAAAGATATACCTTATGCACGTGATATCGCTCTTAATCATGCTGCTTTACCCCTTTTGATTAAATTTATTACATCTGAGACCCCAGTAAGTAACATTGTATATTGAGAAAAAAATAGTTCAAATAAATATTTATTTGAATACTGCTAACTAAACATTTACTTACAATAAATAAATATTTACTTAATAAAAAGAAGTGATTGTTACATCAAATTAATATGTTTTGTACCAAATAAATATATTTTTATATATGTTTAATAAATATTTAGTTGGTACTATTCAAATAAATATTTATTGAAATTTAAGATATTTTTTTCTCAATATATTTAATAACATCCTTTAATTATATTTGTCTTACTTGTTTTTGAATTTGATACTCAGAAACAACATTTTTGTTCATTTTGTCTAGAGAATGTACAAACACTATTTGCAAACTGGAGAGCAATTAATGTATCTAGTATGATAAAAACATTTTTAAATCGATTGCACTTAATAATAGTTAATTGTTGATACTAGTAATGAATAAATTTTTAATAGTTTATATTTGTATTTTTATTACAAGAAAGTGAAGATGATTAAACTATGTCTGGTATTGATTTAAAAATAGAATAGTATAATATCCTATTACTTAATTAAATTATAACTTAATAAATATAATATAATTAAATTTGTTTCTTAATTATAATTTAAGAGAAATAGAATCTTAATAAGAGTGTTTAAAAAAGAAATTATATACTATAATACATGTTTTTATGAAATTACTTTGAAATATTAAACAGTGCTAATGATTGCAAGCACTTACTTTTAATATAAAAATTAGCAATATACACTTAGTTTTTATGTTAAATAAAGTTTTAAATCTATGTTTCTTTTAATAAATAAATATCATTTCTCAATATTTTGATACTTATAAAATATGCAGATAGCATTCATGTGCAGCATCGTAAGGACTATGACTTGTTTATGTAAAAAGTCGAATCCACCTTTATCCCTTGAATGGATTAGACCTATTCTACCAGTATTTAATTATCTATTTACTCTTCGAAATGAAAACATAATTTGTAAGATATACACGTTTTATTTTATATTTATATTAGGTGTTGGAATTAATTCGTAGCGTTTTTTAATGAAAGAATGTTATTTATTTCACATGAGCATTAAAAAATACATTAATGAAAGTACTTCCCATCACTTGTAAAACGCTACGAATTAATTCCAACACCTAATATATTATATAATTTGTTGTAATTTTGAGCTGCTATAAAGCTGTTTGTTTCAGCCGGTACATGCTGGATACTTGCTTGCCTTACTGATGGATGCGATGATAACATACATGCATTATTGAAAACTAACATTCTACCGCAAGTTTTAGAGTGTCTGATATCGCAGACAAAAAACATCTCTATTTCAGCATTGCGCACAATTGCACATATAGTAGAATCAGGTGATTCTTATAAAACAAGTGCTGTAATTTCCGCTGGAGGTTTGTCGTATCTTTGTACCTTTTTGCGAAAGTGTTTCATCGACGAAAATATTGTAGCGGAAGCTGTTTCGGCAATCTACAAAATGGTTAATACCAAAGAAGAAATCCAATGTGTGATAGATGCTGGTTTATTACCACATTTGATAAAAATACTTAAATTTGTAAGTATGTTTATACACGAAAAAATTTGCCAAACATCTGTTTTAAATATTTCAATAAAGAATTTTGTAGATAAATTCATTTTTTAATATATTTTTTATTTTTTAATTCTTTTTTTTTTAGGGAACAGAAGAGGCACAATATGTAGTTGCATGGACTATATTGGATATAATAGCGGTAGGATCAATTGAACATTTGAACAAATTAGTAGATGTCGGCTTGTTATCAGCTTTGTGTAATTTATTGGAAGTAGAGAATTACAATAATATTATCAATGCCTTAGATTGTCTAACTGAAATCTTGCATGCTGCACAGAAAGTAGAACAAACAGAAAAATTTATTATTATGATTAAAGAAGCTGGAATAATAGATAAAATAGAAACTATTCAAGATCATCATGACGACGTATATTCAACTACACATATTTTTCTAGAAAAGTTTGTACTTTATACTTTCTAAAGCTCTTGAAAATAGAGCTTATTTAGAAAAATTCTGTTTTTTTTCGTAGATGGTTGTTATATAGATTTTATCTATATAAACAAAAAATATATCATGAATAAAACAATCTTTTTATCTGTATTCAACTGAATGATATTTTAATCGTATCATTATTTAATTAAAACAAATAAATGTTTTTTTAGGATAAAAAATAACTTATCGATTAAAGAGGAATCAAGGCAGAAAGAATTTCATATGAAAAATGAATTAACAAATTAATTTTCTGAATAGAAACATCTTCGAATTCTTTCTCAGATTAAAAGACTATAAGCTAAATAATTTGTCAATATAATTTCCAATTTATACATGACAGCTGCTTACAATATGAATTAGAACATTTATCAGTCAATGAAATTTTAGCAATATTAGCATGACAAAAGTTCTTTTTTTTTAAGCTTTAGCAATTGAATTAGTCAGTTTTAAGAATAATGATCTTATTCTTTAGTGTGTATTATAAGAATAAGTTCGTATTAAATAGAATAGTTTTAATGTATGTTAAATCAAAAACATATCAAGATAATATACTCAAATATCAAGCCAAATATGCCTATCTATTTGACGTCATTAATTCATCATTCTTAGGACTAATTTGACGAATCAAACATTAAAAATGACGAATTTGTTACAGTTACATAACGTCATAAACTCACATCGAAAATACGTCATTATTTTGATGTTGTTAACATAAATAAATGACGTTATTAATTGATCCCTGTAATAATGTTATTATAATGATCAATTTATAATGTTATTGTAGTGATTAATTGATTACTATAATAATGTTATTGATGGCCATAATTAGTACGTCAATAGATCAGCTATTCGTCGTCATAAGTTAATAAGAGTATGACGTTGTAAATACATCGTAAGACGGATAAATCAATGAATTCATTAATTTATAAAAAGATGACGTCGTTATTACATCTTAAATAGGTAATGACTTCAATCTGTAACATGATAAATTATTGACATCAAAATGATGACAGCTTGCTTTTTGGGTAAAAAATTGTATGTCTTTAATCTAGATTTCAGCGAACTAAATAATTAATTTTGTAATTTTTTAAACAATAAAACTACATGATCTTATCCATTTCTTATTTTAAGAATTTTTTTTTTAAATCTGTAAAAAATGTTCTTAATATATCCTATAAAATCCTTAGGAAGTTCCATATAATATCCTCAAAATGTATTTCGAATATTTTGCAGGGTCGATCGTATATGTTTTAAACATGTTTTAAACTGTTTCAAACTGCATGTTTAAAACATGTTTAATCAACGTTTCTCACATGTTTTAAACATGATTTTTTTATAATACTATTTAAAGCATGTATATGCAGCATTAAAAACATGTTGAAAAAAAAACAATGTCTTATTTTCAAAAAGAAAATCATCTCTTATCAACTCTGTTTCGTAGTTACTTGCTCTTTTCCACGATTTATCGAGGACATTTAGAGCTGGGCATGTATTTGAAATATTTTTCTATAAAAAAATATATACTTTCATTTAATAAATGATATTTGTAACCATTGTATCTTGTATTGTATATTTTAGTGATGCACATGAAATATTTTATATTTTGTATTTTAGCGTAGTACATAAAAATATTTTGTATTTTATATTTCAAAACGAAAGATTGAAAGTATTTTGTATTTTCGACACTAACGTTGAAAATCAGTCTTATTATTTAAATACAAAAAATTTAATTACAAAATACTAAATCTTTTTATGTCAGCGTTGAAATATTAGGTTTTTCTTTTTTTTTACTTTTTTAATATACTGAGCTATGTGTGTGTATGTTTTTCTAAATAAGAAAAAATTACAAATAATTTTAGATTGCATTTAAAAATAATAAAAAAAAAATTAAAAACAGTTTACTATCTGGATCAAATAAATGCAAATGAATATGTTTTTGACACTACATAAATAGTCCGGATCTGAAATTTCTGGGAGAATCATAATTTTACAGAATATATATAGAGTGTTCAGCGTAACAGTACGCACGATTTGTCAGTTAAAAAAAAGATTGAAGAGTGAGTATTTATTTATTTTATATAGGCTACAATGCGATACAAAAATTTAAAAAGTTATAAGAAAATTAAAGTCATTCTGAATTTTTTAAATAACATCATACAATTTTGTTTCCATATTTGATAATATTAGGAGTCTTCAAGACGAATTCAAATCACTGTCAAAATGTTACTTTTATTGATGCTTTATTGATTTTATTGCACATTTTATTAAATCAGTACGTATATGTATGTATAATGTATGTATATGTTCTTTGTTTTAGTCAGAGATATTGTTGTTACAAATAATGTTACAAATTTGATATTAAATATCAATAAAACATTAAAAGTGACATTCATTTTCAGTAATGATCAAGAAATCAAGAAAAAAATCAAGTTTGAAGAAATGTAAAAAAATTACTTATGTATAATTATAATAAAATTATGTATAATTGTGTATATATAAGCAATTTTTTTTACCGTTTTTCCAAACTTGTTTTTTTTTCTGGACAATGCGAAAATTATTCATTTAATTATTTTTTATGTTATTACATTACTGTTGTTATTTCTATTACACTAAAAAAGTAATAAGTAATTTTACAAAAGAAAGAGGGATGTTTGAATATGTATGGACATGTATATAGGATTATAAGTGTTTATAAATATTTAAATATGCTTATATATATTTATACATATTAATGTATGTTAGAAATCATATGGACTGTTACGTTGAACATCATTATATGGAACATTCTCCGAATATGTAACGATGAATAAAATATTTAATGATTATTTAAATGTTGTTCTTACATTCTGAAAATATTTCGGGACATTCTGGATTATATGGAATTAGGGATGCATCGGATCGTAAAATTACTGGATATCCAGATATCCGATATCCCATCGTATATCCGAAAAGGCAATTTTTTCGAATCGGATATCCGACATTTTCCAGACATTCGATCAAATTCCAAGTGTCTTCTAAAAAAAAAAGCTTAATAAAAATAAAAAAAAAAGATTGTAATTTTGCAACAATGTATAAGATATTATAGCATCATGAATATGCATACTTATTTGTAGAACATTTATATAACAAAAAAATCAACAATCTAATGATATTAAATCGGATGTATTCCCGAATATCTATTAATAATAGCCGGTCGAATAGTAAAAAAATGGATAATACCGGATATCGAATACCTTCCGGATATCCGATGAATCCCTACTTAGAATATTATTTTGAGATTTCACGAACATTTCATAAATATACTTAGCGTCAGCCGGTATTTTCTAATCGGTATCGACCGCGATAAGAGCTTGAGATTGATCGGTAGAACGAACGGTGCTCTTGTTGACCGACAGATAATTCTTGGCAGAGCAAAGATTCGCGGGCGCTCGCGCGACGAGGGACGACATGAGGCCGCGAGGCGCGGCAGTCGGACAGTCGTGTCGGGACCACCGTGCAATGTGGATGTCGTCTCGCATTTCGCGTGTCAACATCTCGCGGTTTCGATCGGCGCCGTACCTACGTGCCAGTGACACTTGGCGGCTTGCTGCCCGCGGGCAGACATGCAGGAGCGACGCTGAGAGAGATAGATACATATCCATATATCTGTAAACACGTTACTCGCGTGGCGCGCGATCAATTCACCGATTGCCGATCGTCGCCGTAAGTCGTCTGTAAGTCGTTGATTTTTATCGTCGCTCACGTTTCCTCGCGCAGATCGGATCGGTGAATCACGGCGCACACTTGCCCGAGTTTTACGTTACTAGAGGAAGAGAAAGAAGTTGGAGCTTCCGCGATCGACCGGTTGTCGGCCCGCCCACCGCGAGGAAGAGCCGCGGACCTCGGCGCGGACGTCGGGAGACGGAAGTGCCACCGGTGTTTTCGCCTCCCGCACGTACGAGAGTACCTAAGAGCAAACGAACTCTGACCTGCAGCAATTTCGCAGCGTTTAGCAATATTCCAGAGAAGCGATCTCGATATTCTCGATTCATCGACAGCGCGCGGAGCTGAGCGAGCAGCCGAGAACCGTCACCATCACCACCGTCGCTGCCGCCGCCGTCGCCGCGAGGAAGTGAGTAAACACTTTTTGCATTGCCTTTTTTGTTCTCCGCATTCTCGTCATTCGCAGCTGACGCGCGTTTCCACAAGGTGTCAGACTTCTCTGCTGCAATTTCGATTTTTCGCGATATATTGCGCCTTCCGTTTGTCTCTCCTCCTCCGCAGGCGGAAGTGGAAAGAAAAAAAAAAAGGAAAAAATTTAAAGGAAATCTCAAATGTCCCTCGGGGCGACGTTTGGAATTGCCCGCGTAAAAATACTCCTCGCTTGATGATTTCTGAGCGAACGAGGCGCTTTATTAAAACTCCTCGGCGACACGATACGGAACGCACGATGCTAACGCCGCGCCGTCGTTCGTCGTTCTCCACGGTTTGGAGTCTACGCGGTCGGCTGTTAAGTCGAGCGATGCCTTTCGATTATCGGTAATGAGATGCGTGCCGGCGCTTTCATTGGCCACGGCGACCGCACGCCCGGCCGTCATCGGCTCGCTAATGACGCGTCCGACGCCCGGCGTTCGCGAACGAGCGAGCGAGCGACGACAAGAACAATGTGTCGAACATCGGATCGTATCTTCGCTCTATGCCACATCGCGTGAGATGCGATGTCTCTTTCTATCAGTAATTTAATTTTAATCTCGGTTTGATTTGTTTTATCGTTTTCTGATTCTTAGATCCGGTTCCATCAATGTAAGATTAACTTTAATCTTTGTTTGATTGCTTATCTTCTTCTAATTGTTAAAACCGGAAAAAGATGAAGATTAAGTTGGTTTGAAATTAAAGTTAATTTACATTTGGTAGAAGTAGATATTAGAGATTGAAAATTGAGCTATTCTTCTTTTTTAAGATTATACTATCTATCATTAATTGTAAGATCAATCTTATTGGGAAAGAAGATTCTTTTAACATCATAAGAATTTATTTTACTGATTGTATTTTCTGCAATGTTTTAACTCGCAATTCTCTTATTTATATATTTATATATTTTACCTACAAAATTTTGAAAATAGTTTATAAAAGATGAAACAGTATTATATTTCTGTAAAATAAATTTTCTATAATGTAATAATTAATGTAGCGTTTAATAATAAAGGAGTTTCAGCCCAATTCTATCAATGTGAATTCACTTTAATTTTGGTTTAATTTATTCTTCT